CCAAAACCTGACGCTCCTGTCTACTGCCAGAATGTCGAAAAGGCAAATGTGGAGTCAATTTTGAGCCCATCCTATTCCCCGAATCAATGAATTACTGGACACTGTTCAATTTTATTCAACACAGATATATATTTTTTTTCTTTTAAGTAATGCAAGGCTCCCCATTGTCCCCTGAGTCGAGGTGGGGGGGGGGGGGGGGCGTGCCTTTACTCCATCCGCATTACTCCTTTGCATTCTTTGAGCCTCAGTGGGGTCAGATACGTCCCGGGGCTGTTTCTGTAGCACCCATGCAACACTGCAGGCAGCAAATATGCCATGTAGAACGCAGCCACAAGAAACCGCAGACTTCTGGTCCACCGGACTGCTTTTGGTTCGAACATAAAAAAAAAAAAAAACATACATTAATTTATCTAGCGGATGTTTTTATCCAAATCACTGTACAAATTAGACAACTGGGTTAGTCTGTGCCTGGAACAATTGGCGTTAAGGCCATTGGTGTGGTCCTTGCTCAGGGGGCCAGTAGTGAAATCACTGTCCCGACCACGGTATTCGAACCAGTAACCTTCCGATCACAGTCACAGAGTGTGAACCCACTAATCTAATCACCTCTGCAAACCTGCCAGCCTTATCAGAAACTGCATATTTTTTGCCCCTTCTCCATATCCCTGTAATGGTTTCATAACCTTAATTAGTACAAGACGACAGCGAGACTTGTGACAGTGGTGTTTTCACACAGGGCATCACAATCGGCGTGGAATGACTCCACTTAATACAAGAGCCCCAAATGCTCATAGAGTCTTATAAAGATTGGTTCCATGCTTGTAGAAAGCAACTGAGAGGAGACCTTCGCACACCTTGAATGTCACAAGCTTTGACAAACACTCCCAACACATTTAAAAATAAATACAATAAATACTTCTCTGCCACCAGCACAGAAAAAGATCTGAAATGGCAAATGTGACACTTCAATACAAAAGAAGTCTAGGTTGGTTATATATATCTTTTTTTAGCTAAGGATCCAATTCTTAAAAAAAAACATAAAAAGAAAAATTCAAAAGATTGACTAGCGCCCCTTAAAAGGACAGAAAGAGCTGTGTATTTATGACCCAATTACAATAAAAAGCCTTGAGACATTTCTAACACAATTATTCCAGAATTATCGGTTATCTGCTATTAAGATGATTACGTAAAAAAAAAAAGAAAAGAAGACATTTATGACACCATTTGGTCAGTGTATATCATTTGAGAGCTTTTACCTGAATCGGTCAATGAAATACTTGATGGTTTTATAAAATTAAGAAGGGTATGAAACATATTGAATAATTATGATTTGTGAATAAGTAGCTAAATAAGGCATTTAAAGACAAAACGCCATAACCCTGACTGAGTAATGTACAGTAAAGATTAAGACTACGGGTCTCTACACAAAGATGAATCCACAGATCCGTTAACCTGTCCTATCCACTTACGGGAGCCTTGCTCATTCATGCCGTTTCATTGATCGCTGGGAAGGCTTTTCATCCAACTGATACGGCTCCCTCGTTCGTAACACGGTTACGTAATGAAGGTGTGATATACTGGATCGCTAAATATAAAAATTTATTTCTTCATTTCAATCTCTGCACTGCCAATTGAATTTCATGAGCTCTTTCACTTTAACTCCATCACCTCAGATATTTTCAGTATCAAACCTTTTTTTGACACCGTGGAGTGTATTTTCTGAGTGTAGTATAAAGTCAGATTGTTTAAAAAAAAATGGGTTAAAAACAGTCAGGCATTCTTGGTAATTGAGTTTTACATAAGTTGTTCTTTTGTTCTTTAAGTAGCTCAGTGGGTAGTGCCATCAACCTCAGTCCTCCGGGGGGGGGGGGGGGGGGGGGTTGTGGGGGGCAGCTTTGAAATAGGCTACAGCCGCTCGGGCGTGTGGCGTTTGAATGATGCACATGTGGGTTTTCTTCACGTGCTCCAGTTTCCTCACACAATTCAGAGACATGTAGATGTGCAGCTGGCACTGGAGTACAGCCCCGTGTGTGTGTGTGTGTGTGTGTGTGTGTGTGTGTGTGTGTGTGGACATATACAGAAGAAAAATAAAGGTTCAATGCCTCTTCCAAGAATATAGCGGCACTCGTTGCAGGGATCTGAAGAACATTCTGATTACAGGCCTAATGCATTAACCATTAGTCCGCGTTGTTAAGCTATCAGAGCGATGGGGGGGATTTTAAGATTATGCGGCTGACTTGTCCTTGATACACATAAAGCTTTACAAATGGCAGGCTCTGGGAACGCACCGCGAGGCACTGGTACACGTCCATGACGTACGTATGCAGTTTCCGCTAAAAGATTCTGCATTTATTATGCGGAATTGTGAAGCTCCCGGACAGGTTATTGTTACAGCTAGCATAATATGTAATAAACATAAAAAGCCTCCATATCATATTATATATATATTTTAATGTGAACCACACTTCAGGATCATGGAAGGTCAGTTTGTAAAAAAGTCACTGAAGAATTTACTAAAAGTAATTAAGACAATTAATAACTTTAAAATCTGATCACTTATTTTCTATTATTATTTTTTATGCCCCTCATTGCTCTGCTTAGAGCTCCACACTATCGGCCCCTCACCCCAATTAGGCTAAAACAAATGTAAGAAAGCAGAAATGAATACATTGTTAATAGGAAGAAAAATTGATTTTAAGCATCATAACAGCTTTATCATAGAAGTAGGATTTAATACAACGTAAGGAGGTCCCTCCCTCCCCCACATTCCCCCAACAGCCTGAAACCAGACTTGGCTGTTTGCATAAATTTGCCAGAGAACAAATCTATCATTTTGTTTCACGTTTCATTAAAGAAGATGGAAAAAAAAAACCACACACACAACAGGCTGGGTTTTCTATATTCTGAACATGGCTCTCTGCATTTCCCTCAGAAAATGTATAATGTCCAGAAATTAAATGCTTACAAGCAGATTCTTCAAAAACAGCCTGACGGACAGATGTGCGTGAACCATACGTTACACTGCGGTGCGTATAAAACGTCGAGGAAGCGATGGCAGCATGCATTCGTAACCAGAGGAAGTGACAAGAAGCCAAATGCGAAATAGCCGTCACTCCGCTGTCCACACCAATCAGGTATTCGCAATAAGTCATGCAGCCTGTTCCATCCATACTGAGCAGGGACACAGTCCCACAATGGCGAAAGAACATTACAAATTGCTTTCCAGCTAATCATAAATTCCTACCGTACATTTTTGCGGCTCAGACAGTAGTGATTGATTAGCCTCATTTTCACACGTGCTTGAGGGCGTCCGGCTCCTCCTGAATTATCTGACGGCTCGTGGATCAGAAGACGCCCGCGCCTAATGAAGAGGTCAGGACCCGCCACTCGCAGATGATCACAACGCACAACCTGGCAACCCGGGCTGCGGTCCGCTGAACGCAGGGCCGAGCCGACAGGAACGCCGAGCGCGCATCGTTATACAGTACAGGACCTTACGTAGGCAGACTTATGTGGCACCTGGAGCCATAATATGTGTTGGATCAGTATCCATTCGTCACAGATTTAAAGAGTCAGATTTAAACCCCCAAACAGCACCACATCAAATGGCACAATTTTATTACTGTAGTATTATATCATTTTCTGTGCGACAATTTTAACCTGAGAAATGGAGATGATTCACTCAGGTCAGAACATAAGGCTTAAGGTTTAAAAAGTATTAACGTGAAATTTTCCGCATTAAGGTGATTTTGAATTAATTCAATAGAACACGACTACACAGTATCTTGTATGGTAAGCGAAACCCAATTTGAACATTTCCCTTAAGCGGAGTTTCAGTAACTCATTAGCATTTTATACACTGTAGAAAAGCTCTCTACTGTTTCCTTTTTACAGAGAAAGAAAGTGGTACAGATTCATTATAGAGTTTCATGCATTACAGGTCTCAGGGAAATAATTTCCAATTAACTAAGACTCTTGAAGAGGGAGTGAAGACAAAAAAAAAAAAGATTAAAAAAAAAAAAATCCATGCACTCTTGTAATATACCTTCAGTATCTGTTAGGACCAAAGATAAACATCAGAAACCATTTTGGACGCCATATACATGATATATAGTTCCGGTATGAAACATGACCATTGAAGTTGACAACTATGTGTTTATAATGGAATTATGAGCAAAAAAGTTGGTTCATGGCCATAATCTGAGTTTCATCAACTTGAAAAGTTGTGTCATGTGCAACTGATTAGCATTTTCATCTGGCGTCTCAAGGAAGTAAAAGGGAAAAAAAACAAATATAAATATAAATATATTTTTTTTAAATGGGGGCGGCATGGTGGTGCAATGGTCAGCACTGTTGCCTCACACCTCTGGGACCTGGGTTCGAGTCTCCGCTTGGGTCACATGTGTGTGGAGTTTGCATGTTCTCCCCATGTCGTCGTGGGGTTTCCTCCGGCTGCTCCGGTTTCCCCCCACGGTCCAAAGACATGCTGAGGCTGATTGGCGTTGCTAAATTGTCCTTAGGTGTGCATGTGTGAGTGAATGGTGTATGAGTGTGCCCTGCGATGGGCTGGCCCCCCATCCAGGGTTGTGCCCATTGTTTCCGGGATAGGCTCCGGACCCCCCACAACCCAGTAGGATAAGCGGGTTGGACAATGGATGGATGGATTTTTTTTTAATTTACCCTAAATAGGTGAGATTGTCTTAATGTTTTGAAATCCTTGAGTTGTCTCCACATCAATAACGGTCTATGCAAATTATTCATTTTATTTTTATTTTATGGAGGAGATTCAGTAAAGATGCAATACTTTTTGTATCTACAAACAAACCATCCTTATAGGCCAACCCTGTCACAAGAGTGACACTTCAATCGAAAAATTCTGGAAAATATCCAGAAATGAATCTAAAAGTATATTTATTTGCTTAGTGTGACATTAACATTACAATTGCCACTATTAGCATTTTCAGCAGCAAGTCGCCCTTTGAGCAGAAACCCAGACGTACCTTCGCTGTGGAAGAGGTGGAGGTGGGACCGATGCGCTTGCACACCAGGTCACTGCTGCAGGTGGTCATGGCGACAGAGACGGGGGTCGGAAGGAGGGAGGAGATCACAGGCAGGGGGAGGAGACCAGGCCGGTTGTTGGCACCTCCACAGCTGTTGGTCGTGTTGCAGCTGCTGTTGGCGGCGCTCCCCGGGCCAGTTCCCCGGTCCCTCCGCTCCCACACGCCGCGGTAATCTCTCTCGAATCGGTTATGGTGCCGTGACATCTCCAGAGAGCACTCTTCCTGCTTGGAGAAAACTGGAGCCTGGCTGGAAGACAGAAGGAAAATACCCCTGAAAGCTATTCGGAGGGCTAATGACTGGCAAATGGAATAGAAGAGTCCCCTATGCGTCTCTTCATCCAATGGATTACAGTCCTAACCAAAGAATTTTTGAGCCATTACCGAGGCTCTTTTCTATTTGAGAAAGTTTTTGACAAGCCCAGCTCCAGCGCTAAGATGTAGGGTGGGCTGCAGGATTCTGTGTTGGGACCTTGTGTGTAAGGGGTTAAAAAGCCTGTTCTAAAAATAATTGACTGACTTACTTCCCGTTCACAATAAACAAGAAAAAAAAATCTGATTGGTTGGCATTTGCCTAGCCAATGGGGAGGAAGCACTAGTGGAACTCATGATGAGCTGCTAGACTTTGATTATTGAGGTCAATTTAATGTCCACCATAAGAAAATGCAGGGGAAATTTAATTTGGTCAGGGCACCTTGTCCCTGTACAATTCTTTTTCAATGCTGCATCAAAAAAAAAAAAAAAACTCCATTTCATTCAAAATCCAGAACTGCTTTTCCATCGTGCCAGCGAGCTGATTTGAATGCGGAGCACAATGAGGATGATCAGAAAAGCAAACATTCAAAGAGAAAAACACTGACATATTGGAACTGCATGCTTCTTAAATGGCAGCACTAATAAAGCTACTGGTGAAGAGTGAGAGCAAACAATGAGCGATGGGGTCTCATGAACTGCTTCAATTCACAATACAAACGGAAAAGAAAATAATGTATTGACTAGACCTATCCTTCCTTAAAGCAATACCCTTCATTTCCATAGAAGGAAAGCAATTAGAATGAGAGATCTATAAAAATTTCAGTGTAGAATATATATAACATTACATTACATTACATTACACACACACACACACACACACACACACACACACACACACACACACACACACACACACACACACGTAAAGGGGCCCCAATTAACATAAATCTACCAATGGAGATGTCCCCCTCCATTCAGCAAGGAGGCCCAAGGTGACATTTTGTCAGGGCACCCAATATTCCTTGCTTCGTATAAATCGTGATAATTCAGAAAAATACCCTCAACAATTATTAAATTCTACGTGAACATCTTTATGCATATGTTCACCGTTTGTAAAATGATCAAGGAAAATCATATGTAATATTGCTTGCTTAATTTAACATGGTTTTAACTATTTGCCGTTTGTAAACAGACTGCAGTATTTATAGAGTACTAAGAACTAAAAATCCTACTTTACCAGAAAGTGCAGCTGTCAAAATCAGCTTCCCAAGTTTATAAATCACACAGCAGATGGAGGAATATTGCTCCCCGCGACCATTTCAGGAGTTGGGGATCACCCTCCAAAGTGCCCGTAACAAGCTGCATGGCATTTCCATTTATTTTTAGGACTTAATACCCCATCATTTCTTACAAGCCAATTTATCCGTCTGGTGTGCCGGAAGGACGAACGCTAGCATTTACATCACTGCTTACCTCTGCGATGAGTGTAGGACATACAGGTCCTCGGAGACACGGCCTCTGCATCGCAGAAGGTGACGTTTTTACAGTCACGGACATAAATAATCTTAATGAATGAAATAAAGTTCACTTAGCGTAATGAAATCCAGAAAAACCAACAAACAAGGGACCACGAAATCGCTCCCTGTTTGACCGGAGCGATTTACAAGGCTAGAAGAGGAAGCAGGTAAATGAAGTCACTCAGAAAAACTGAACACGTTCAAAATCTCCGGTAGGATGTACAGACCAAAATCTCCGGGGTTTGTTAAAAATGTATTTTTAAAATACATTTTGAAAACTGCTATGTTACATCGGGGGAATTGGCGGTTTATCAAGAACAATAACAAAAAGAACAAAAGAACTAGAGCACAGGGATTTATAGTTTAGTCTGGAACCAAGGACAGAAGGGGGGTGTGAGGCAGCACGAATAAGCCTGGTTATCCCCCCCCCCAAAGGCAGCCATAGTACCACCCTCTCACGCTGCCAACTGGGGATCAACTCAAGCATTTTTCCATCACATATTTTGCACAAGTACTGTAGATATCTCTATAATTAACTGCCGATAAAACACAGCCTTTCCGTTAAACATCTGCACTAAAAATGATCGATTTCGCATGGCCTCAACCCGTACAGCCTGGGATTACAGCAAAGCCCCATTTGTACGAGACTGAGATTAACTATGCATGGAGCTTCTCTTCCGATGCGCCCGTGTCCTTGAGGTTGGCCCAGTGATAAGGTCTACAGCTACAGCTGGCTGGTGCCGCCTGGGCTTGACTGGACCGCAGGACAGACCACCGGGTCTCAGCAGAGTCATTTATTTTGAAGTGCCGCATGCAATCCCCATCTACAAGACTTCCAGGTCAGTCCATTTCATTAATAATAATATTCCCAAACATTACAAGATTCAGTCTCACACTGAGGACCCAGGAAACTTCCAAACACACACACACACACACACACACACACACACACACACACAGCTATACTGCTATATCAGCAAAAAAAAATGCTAATTGACAAAATAAGCATTGACGTTATATGGAATGTAAAGGAAAAGATAGCAGTCATGGGAAAAACCAATACAAAACAGCCTTTACATATCTGAACACCATGCTAACATATGGTGTGAGGCGTGAATCAGCTCTCGGAGAAGAGGAGAATAAAGGCAGGAGCCAGTCAGGTCGTTGGGGTCGGCAAGGCAGCAAACTAAAATTTAAGCAATCCCCTGATCCCCTCCGAGGAACTCCGAGTGAGCGTCAGCAGATGACAGAGTCAAGACAGGCTGCTGTATAAGCTGCCGGACTCAACTTGCACACGGGAAAATGCTTTTACCAACAAAGGAGTTTTGCAGGGACAGGAAAACGCATAAATAAGACTGCATTCCAGAAAAGCTCAACGTGTAGCACACATGCAATGCATACAAAATGTAAAAAAGCATAAAGCTAAAAAAAAAAAAGATTATATAAATGTTGACTTTGTTCTGGGCCTCATCTGCTAATTAAATTTCAGATCAAAGTGAATTAATTACAGCAACATTCCTCTAAACTGTTCACGTCAGAAAGTATGCGGAATTTTATGCAAATTCTTATCAGTCTTAGATTAACAGCATAATACTTCACATTCCTCTCAGTGCCGCTAATGGCAGACTAGGGTTTTAAAATCTGATTTCATTACTCAAATTGAAAAGACGACAATAGATGCAGCCACAGAATGGGTGATTAACTGATAAATTGTTGAAGAATAATAAAAAAAAAAAAATTAAATCTACATTTGCCGCATATTATTGTGATAGCTTTATTAGAAAGATTTCAATCCAATTTTCTTCTAAATCTGCTCAAATAATTAAATCAAGAGGGTCATAAACTTTAAATGACCCAAATATAAAACTGAGAAATTGCCTGATAGCCAGCTCAGACACAGGACGTGGTGTTTAAAAAGGCAGAAGGTATAACATGTCATGCATTAATAAGCTGTGTGTTTAACCGCACGGTGACTGGGCGAGTAGGCATATTACGGTTACCCAACCCCTCAGCCTGCTTACAGTCTGAATCCAGCTTCGCCCCACGCTGCACATCCATGCGACACCACAGGTCACATGATCTGGTGATGGGGATATTATGAATTAATACCCCGCGATGGTTCAGTCACCTGCCCAGTGTGTGGTCCATCTACGGACCCATTCTTTCCATCCAGATAACTGACAATTGCGTAATCGGTAACTGGAAATGGATCATGCCGATAGTAACATCACACCAGATTTGTATTTTAAAAAAAATTTAAAAAAAATTGTCTGACAGGAAATTCGCTGCGTAAGAGGATACTTTACACATGTTGAGTTTACTGGGTCTTTTGTCTTTGGTGGAGGGAGGGAATATTAAAAAAATAATAATAATAAAAATCTTCCATCAGAATTCAGCTCCACTCTTTCAATCACCAGAGACCTGGCATTAGCTGGAAAACCATGCCGTCTTGCCCTCCGCCCCCCAACCCCCACCATTTCCTCCACAAAAGATGATAAAAATGCAAAGCTTGCCATGTCCCCCCTCCCCCTGAATCCATACCCAGCTTCTTGGATGCAAAAACCCAAACCAAAAATCGATGAAGAGTCAGCTCTTTGCGAGCCTCTTGAGGCACGAGAGAGTTCCAAAATGTACACTAAATTATTTGGTCTTGCATGCGACATATTTTGAGTGGACTAGCTCACATTCACTCAAAACGCATTTCTTATCAGGGATATCGTGAAGCAGGAAGCACTGTCATTGGCCTTTGAGTACAATACGATGCTGGAAGTATTGGAAGAAAATACCTAGCTTAGATTAAACTTCTGCACTTTCTCCAGGCATCTGCTGTGTCCGTCAGGCAAGGTCCCCGTTACATTCAGACTAACTGTGAACCCCCTGGCACAGGAATAAATTGGCTTTGTTCTGCCTAGGGAGCGAAGGAGGGGAATCAGCTGGGAGTTACTCTCCCATGGCCGCCAGTATGCAGACTCAGCAAGTCTACTGGGTGCCCGCGAGTCACTGGGTTGCCAATGGTGGGCGTCACACTGCACCACCTTCTGGTCTCCCACAAGAGCAGCAGTTCGATTTGCAATGTCAGTAGAGGGTGGAAATCAGCAGGGATGCGAAAAGTACATCCGTCTCCAGCGCGCTCTGCGCGTCAAAGGAGAGCCGCCCAATCTTAAGGCTGTTAAAACAGAGTGGCTGAAGTGAAAAGGGGCTAAATTCAGCCAACGCAGTTATTCACTGCCATGCAAGACAGAAAGAGCAGAACAAACTTAGCTGTATGATGAATTTTCTATAACGAGAGTAAAAGCTTGCTATGAAATGAAATGTAGAAAGGGGGGAAAAAAGCCTTTTTATATTAAAACCAAAGTTTTTGAGAAGCAGCATACAAGCAAACACACACACACACACACACACACACACACACACACACCTCGTAAAAAAGCAAAAATACAATTAAGCCAAAGAAGACTCATTTTAGGTAATGAGTAGA